AGTCTGAAGGACCAGGTGTGATGGCGGTTGGAGAGTTACAGTTGGAGTGGTCCCGACAAGCAGAGATTAAAGAGCAAAGAATGACCCATGCAGCGCATAGACGCAAGGAAAAGGAACAACAGAGGAAAGAGGCTAAAGAATCTCTTCAAGAAAGTGCTTCGTTGCCGGTGGAAGGAGAAAGACCTAAGAGTTCTGCGGCACATTCTTCAATGGCAGATCTTCAAGCAGTCTTCTCCAGGCTTCTGGTTAAGGGAGATGGTAAAGCTCCTGACTTGGAATGTTAATGGCCTTAATTCCCCCCAGAAGAGAAAGAAAATCTTTCATTATTTAAAGCAACATAATAATGATATTATTTGTTTGCAGGAAACACATATTATAGCTGAAGATCAAAAATATTTAGTCAATGCTCGTTTGGGATCTCATTTTGTATCTTCTGCTCCTGGGAAAAAAGGGGGTGTAGTTATTTATGTCAAGCAAAACTTATCAGCCTGTTTGGTAGAATCTGATCTTCAAGGGAGATATGTTATGATTGAAGTTGGTTTATATGGTAAGAAAATACTTATAGTGGGATTGTACGCACCAAACCAACAACAGGAACAATTTTATAGATTGTTACATCAGAAATTAACTTTGTTGGACTATAGATCTGTGATATTAATGGGTGATTGGAATGGTGTGTTAGATACACAAAGAGACAAAAAAGGATCTTCTACTTCTTTTAAACAGGCTAAATTACCTAAAGCTTTTTTTGATTTGAAAGAGGACTGGGAACTACGAGACTACTGGCATGAACGCAATCAGGAGGAGAGAGACTTTACTTTCTTTTCAGATAGACATCAATCTTTTTCAAGAATTGACTTTTTTTTTTTATCACAACTGATTTATATTTTAGGGTAAAGAATGTTAAAATTTTTCCTAGGACATTGACGGATCATAGTCCAGTCTGGATGGAGTTGGTTGATGAAAGAGAGGAGAGGAGATCGTGGAGGATGAATGAAAATTTATTTAGACAAGAAAAGAATGTTCAAAAATTAAAGGAGCACTTAAAGGATTATTTTGTTTTAAACATGTATAAGGGAACTTCAATGTCAATGGTATGGGATGCAGGTAAAGACTTTATGCGTGGGATTTTGATACAAATGAATAATGCTCATAGACAAAAGAAGATTCAGAAACGTAAGGAATTGGAAGATGAGATTAAATCAAAAGAAAAAATTTTGATTTTAAATCCCAAAGATGAAAAGGTTAAAGAATCTATAAAATTGCTTAAAACACAATTTAATATGTTGATGGCTGATCAAACTGCAACTAACTTATTGTATATGAAACAAAATACATTTTGCAATGCTAATAAACCAGGGAGATAGTTGGCTTATCAATTAAGAAAGAAACAGAGACAGAGAATTATAGATAAAATAAATTATAATGGTAAATTAGTATATCATAAGGATTTGATTAAGAAATCGTTTTTAGATTATCAAAAATTATATAAGAGTACTAAAATACAGGTTTTAGATATAGAAAATTATTTAAATGAAGCCAACTTCCCTAAATTAACAGAAGATCAGAAACAAGAAATTAATGGTTTAGTTACTAGTGAGGAAATTGAGACAGTGATTAAAGAATTAAAATTAGGTTAAGCACCCGGTACGGATGGTTTGACATCTATTTATTATAAAACTTTGGTACAAGAGATGATTCAACCTTTAAGAGAGCTTTTTAACAATATATTACAGGGTTTAGAGATTCCCCCGTCATGGGGTAGAGCTTTTATATCTTTAATCCCAAAAGAAGATCAAGATCTTACTTTACCAAAGAATTACAGACCTATATCTCTTTTAAATGTAGATTATAAGATTTTTGCAAAAATTTTGGCTAATAGGCTTATGAGGGTTTTGCATCAGGTTATACATAAGGATCAAACGGGTTTTATAACTGGAAGGTACATGAAGAATAATGTCAGATAAATTATTAATTTATCAGAATATTTAGACAAAAATAATCAAGTTCCTGCAGGATTGATATTTTTAGATGCTGAAAAAGCTTTTGACCAATTGAATTGGCAATTTATGTTAAGACTAATTGAGAAAATGAATTTTGGAGAAAAATTTTTACAAGCTCTTGGTCTTATTTATCAAAAACAAACGGCACAATTTATTGTTAATGGGGGTTTATCAGAGGTCTTTACAATAGAAAAGGGGACTAGACAGGGGTGTTCATTGTCACCACTGCTATTTGTTTTAACTTTGGAAATATTGTTGATTAAAATTCGAGAATCACAGGAAATAAAAGGAATAGAAGTTAATAAAAAAGAATATAAATTAAGAGCTTTTGCAGATGACTTGGTGGTCATCCTGTCCCAACCTATTTATTCTGTAGTAGAGCTATTACAATTGATATACCAATATGGACGGCTTTCGGGTTTTAAAATTAATAACAATAAGACTAAAATATTACCTAAAAATATGACCATTTTGGATAAGCAGACTTTGGTTAAGTTGACAGATTTTGAGGTTGTTGATAAGGTAAAATATTTGGGGGTTATTTTATCTGTTTCTAATGCAAAATTGTACAAAAATAATTATGAAAGGTTATGGGTCAGGATACAAAGAGATTTCAAAAATTGGGAGAAATTGCAATTATCCCTTTTGGGAAGAATTGCGGTGATTAAAATGAATGTTCTGCCAAAGTTTCTTTTTTTGTTTCAAATGATACCTATTTTAAAGAATGAGATTAATTTAATTTAATGGCAGAAAGGTATCAATAAGTTTATTTGGGCGGGGAAAAAACCAAGAGTAAAGCTTAAAATAATACAAGACATTCGTGAGAGAGGTGGACTTAAGGTACCGAATTTGAAATTGTACTATGATGCGGTGGTTTTAACATTAATTAGTGATTGGGTTAATTTAACAAATGTAGAAATACTCCTCTTGGAGGGTTGGGATTTACTTTTTGGATGGCATGCCTATTTAATTTTTAATAAAAAAGTTGATAGGGTTTTTAAATCTCATATTATAAGGATTTCTCTATTTTGGGTTTGGAGGAAATATTACAGAAGTGATTTTAAAATCCCATTATGGGGTGTACCCTGGCATGCGATAGAGGGGATAAGGAGAGGAGTTAAGATGGATGGTGTTTCTTATGCACAATTACTTAGATGGGATGGTAAAAACTGGCAGTTAAAATCTTTGGAAAACCTAGCACAAGAAAATATTATATATTCATGGTTTCAGTATAGACAAATAGTGGATAGATGGAAGTTAAATTGTAATGTGGGTTTACTTAGAGAAGATGAAAATCTTCTTAAACAAGTAAAAGATCAAAGACGAACTCATATTAAGAGAATTTATGGGGTGCTAGTAGAATTGGATTCAGAGGCAGAATTAATTAAAGAATGTATGATCAAATGGGCACAAAATTTTGGTGAACCAGTTCTACTAGATACCTGGGAAATTATTTGGGTGAGGAATGTCAAATTTACACAAGCCCAGAATTTAAGGGAGAATTTTTATAAAATGTTTTACAGATGGCACCTGGATCCACAAAAAATGTCTCGTATGTATCCTGACTTACAGCCTAAATGTTGGAGATGTGGTTGTTTAGATGCTACTTACTATCATATTTGGTGGACGTGTAAAAATATAAAAGCCTTTTGGATTAAGATATGGTGGAATATTCAAAGAAGTTTCAGAAGGAGGGTAAAATTTACCCCACAATTGTTTTTATTAGGTATTGTTACGGACTGTGATATTAAAGAGACTACATTGATGTTAAATTTAATTACAGCCGCAAGGCTGCTAGTAGGGCAATGTTGGAAGAAGGAATCTCTGCCTACTTTGCAAGAGTGGTTTTTAAAAGTTTCTTATTTGGCGGAAATGGCAAAGATTTCGGCTTTCTTGAAGGATCAATCGCAGGAGAAGTATTTTGCGGTATGGAAAAAATGGATAGATTTTATACAATATAAGTTGGATGTTAAAAATATTATTTAGCTTTTCAATAACTTATATTTAAAATTTAAAATATTTTTTAGATTTTATTCCTTTTTTATTTTTATTATACTTTCTTTTATCCTTTTCTTTTTTCTTTTTCTTTATTCTTTTTTCTTTCAAGTATTATTCTTTTGGTAGTTATGTTTTCTTATAGATATATTATTGTTAATTATCTTATAATTTGTTTAATTAATGTATTTAGTATTTAGATTTATTTATGGTTTATATTTTCTTTTAGATTATTTGAAGAAATTTTAATTAAGCCTATGTTCAGCTCTGGGAAGGTCGGGGGAGGGAATGGGAGGGTTGGGGAAGTTTGGGGATGGGTTGTTTTGTTTTTGTAAAATTTTAAAAACTTAATAAATATTTACAATAAAAAAAAATGATCCCAAACACACCGCCCGGGCAACAAAGGAGTGGCTTCATAAGAAGCATTTCAAGGTCCTGGAGTGACCTAGCCAGTCTCCAGATCTCAACCCCATAGAAAACCTTTGGAGGGAGTTGAAAGTCCGTGTTGCCCAGCGACAGCCCCAAAACATCATTGCTCTAGAGGAGATCTGCATGGAGGAATGGGCCAACATATCAGCAACAGTGTGTGCCAACCTTGTGAAGACTTACAGAAAACGTTTGACCTCTGTCATTGCCAACAAAGGATATATAACAAAGTATTGAGATGAACTTTTGATATTGACCAAATACTTATTTTCCACCATAATTTGCAAATAAATTCTTTCCAAATCAGACAATGTGATTGTCTGGATTTGTTTTCTCATTTTGTCTCTCATAGTTGAGGTCTACCTATGATGACAATTACAGGCCTCTCTCATCTTTTTAAGTGGGAGAAATTGCACAACTGATGGCTGACTACATACTTTTTTGCCCCACTGTACCTTTGGCAATTGCTTTCCATGATTTGAAGCACTGGCCCAGATGTTGCTCCAATACAGGTTTTGGGGAGGATGTCTTTTTACCCCCTTATCATAGACAAGGAAATTATAATACGAATCAATATTTGTATCCCAGTGGCATCATGTATTTAGATTGAAATGAAAACTTCTTTGTAAACTGGATGTTCATCACACTATATCAACGCAACATGGTCTCCATTGTTGTATTATCCTTAGCTCCAAGTATAAGTTAAATTATAAGGCTTGTGACACTTTATATTTTACTCCAAATCCATATTTTTCTGTCCATAATCTGAAATAACAATGAAAAAGTAATCAGAAACTATGGTTTGAATAAGATCAAAATGTAAACATAAATGATGAATCTAAACTTGCTTTTGATAAATCTTGCTTTTATTTTTTTCTTTGATTATTAGAATAATTACCCTCAGCATTTGAAAACAGTTCTTCACTGAATAAATATTTAAGACAAATAACTATCACTGAGAAAATACTCTACAAAAAAATATATAAGCAATTTTAGATTTACTAGATACTTTATGCAGTTATCACTTCAACATGTATTTTTTCCAAGACAAAAATATAATATGTGAAAGATGCTTCCATATTCATTTATTTTATTACATTTCAATTCTAGTTTTTATTCTAGTTAAGTGAGACTAATCTTATTAGTCATAGTCATGATTACTGTATTGTAAGTAGCAATCATATATAAATGGGAAATAAATTTTCTCTATAAACAGGGAAAAGTTCTCATTCCAGTTTCTCAACCAGAGTGAAAATTATCTCTAATTTAATCTGCACCAGCCAGAGAATTTGAGTTTTCACATAAAAGACATCAATGTATAGTATTCTAAAGAATAGTGTAAAACCAATGGAAAGATACAAAATATAATATATAAGCCATATAATAAAAATAAAAGCAACAAACTCAGGAGAACACCTTTTAGAAAATCTATACTCCCATTTAGGTGTAAAGGTATTGGTATATAAAAAACATTTGATATTTTATAGTTTGAGAAGCAAACCTATGATTAGCAATTAGTAATTCTAAGAAAGAGAGCTTTTGAATATGTAATTTAAATAAATACTATTTTAGAAGAATGTGCACAAACTGAAATATATTTTGTTTCAAACACAAAATAAATACATCACATTCTGAAAGTTCTGCCAAACCATTCTAGATGATTTGGTAGAAACATATCCCAGAATATTCTTGGTTAAATCAAATTAAAATAATTTTATAGGATGAGTAGGAAAAGACTGATGATCATTATCTACCTGCCCCACTATCTTCCATTCCATTCCACCTGATCGTATCTTTTATACCTCCAATTCCCAACAATAATGTCACAGCATACTGCATTGGACCACCCACTCCTAATGTTCAGAACTTTCCATTTTCTTGTTACCTTGCTTTCCCTCAATCCTTGTCAATATTTTACTGTTTCTACTCTTCCTGCCACCAAAAGAGTTCTGTCTATAATAACTCCATAGTGATCCATAATCAGGACAAAACAAGCCAGCTTAATTCATTATGTGTACCAAATGTGTATGTTTGGTTTTGGATATAAACCATCAAAACTTACATGAATTTGAGTAGTTGGCTCTTCTAACTGGCCTGGGGACCCAATGGGGAGGTGTTATACTGGAGTGGCTAATAGACTGAAATAAGACTCCACCTCCATCCCATGTATATCTTGCTCTGTTCCTTCCCATCTTTGACGACTTTTAATCATTTTAATGTTAATATTTATTATTTTAATACTTTATCCTACAGTTTTTATTTACTTGTAAGCAGTCTAGAGTTTCCCCTTGTGGAGATGAGTGGGATAAAAAAATAAATAAATAATGACATCCTTATATTTTACCTCTTTAATGAGCACCTGTAGTCTCTTCCAAATTGGTTTTTGCGTAACTCAAAGGCAGATGGAGACCCACAACTGGGCCAACAACACTCAACCATGAAATAATGTAATTTGTATGCCTACAAAGAAAAAAGGAAATATACATTTCTATTTAGGGGAACAGTAATGAAATATTCCAAGCATCTTTGAAAGTTAGGCAGTATTTTTTATTAAAGTGTTATGACACACAGCTTATAAGAAAGAACATTTTGTAAAACAATTTACATTACTGACAATTCTAACCTTCCAGTACAGTGTATTTTGAGACAGACACAGTTGTTAGACATCTCTATAGAGGATGAATTAATTGTAAGAGGTACCACCATAAAGTCTTTTAGCTGGTGATTGTGAGATTATTTTATTACAATTTTTTATATTTTAAATTAAGTATAACACAAGTCAGCTTTTTTTAAAAAAATCCTGTTTTAAATAAGAAAAGCTGCAAAAATTACAAATGAAATTCAACAGATCTGAAACATAGTGGAACCTGTAATGTAATAAAAGCACAAAGCCACAAATAACTGAAAGCTCTTTTAGAAAGGAATATTGCAAAGAGTGTTTAAAGCCCATAGAACTGGACTTTGATGAATTTTTAAAAGCATGAAGTTATTTGTCAAGTAACCCAAATAAATGGATGACTGGACACTGATACTGAGAATGTAGCTTAATTTCTTCTCACATTTCTCTATTTCATTCATTCAATTGAATTTTTTAGTCTTTAAGGAATATAAGAAAGTTCAAATTCTCAGCCCTGAATAGCAGTACGACTGAACTGCTACCTGTAAATATAACAAAGAAGGGAATTGTAGTTGGTGGCTCCCTACTTCTAGAACCAGATTATAGTCAAACATACCTCTTGAACTTAAGAAAACAGATTTTAATCAATACAAAGCAATAATAGGTGGCAGGCAAAGAAAATGGGAAGATGCTGAAAACATAATTGTAATTAAATTTAACAAAGAAAAATAAAAACAGCAGAAGCCACTGTAGATGCATAAAACCATTAGTGACCATCTGGAAAAAGAAGACATATATGGCAGTTAAGGACATTAAGTGACGTCACTAAGGAAGAATGTGTACTAGTGTTCTAGTACACAAGAAAAAGAAACACTATCCAGTTAGTCCTTGACTTACAACCATTCATTCAGCAACTGTTTAAGTTATGATGGAGCTAAATGAATGATCGTTACAACCAGTCCTCAGAGTCCCAGCAGCCCCACAGTCAAATGATCATCGGGCACTTGACAACCATCTTACACATTAAAATAATTTTATTTTAATATTTTTAAAAAGAAGATAAAAGAAGATATTTAATAAAAAATAAGATAAAGTAAGAAAATGCAAAGAAAGAAATTAAATAGAAAACTAAAAGCGCAAGAAAGAAAAAAAGTAATAGAAAAATAGAAAAGAAAAAAGATACAAAGAATTGGTTTCCATTTTTTTACAGTAGTTATTAGAACAATTATAAATTTATCTCTTATTCTATGATTACAACATTACTCTCTTCTTTCTATAATCTATCCTGCCTCAAAATTACAAATTGTAATTCATTTTTCTCTGTTTTATGCTAAAAGTGCACAAGAGGTTTCCAGTCAACTGTACACATAGGTATTGTCTTTCACTGACAAAAGAAAGTTCCACCATCTTCAACAACCACTCCGCTACTATAGGTGATGCCGGCTCTTTCCATCTGTGTGCATACAATAATCTCACTGCAGTTATATACAAAAACTAAGTTCCATGACTTTTTTCCAATTGTTTGTCCATGAATCCCAAAAGAAAAACATCTGATCTCAAACGTATATTAATCTTTTAAATCCTCTTAATCAGTGTGAATATTTGAATCCAAAACTTCTACTTTTTTTATACATCACATAGACATTTGTGACCTTCCCTGCCAGTTTCATCAGAAAATCAATGGGGATACCAGTACAGAAGGTTGGAAATCACTGGGATAAGTCTCCCCTCAACTGTTCATCCTCCCTCAGACTCTCTGAGATTGCACAGCCCTCTACACCCTCCTCAGTCCTACCACACCTCCTTTCAACCCTTGCACCCTCTCCATCCTATCAGCAGCCACTTATTTCCCTGCTGTCCTGCTTACAAGCTTCCTGGAACTTGCAACTTCCTATTGGCTTCCCCACTGACTTATTTGTGAAAGCTAGCAGATAGTTGTTTCACTTAATGACTATGGGATTCAGTTAAGAATGGCAACCAGATTGCAGGGATTACCACCACTAAGCAATGTGGTTCTGCTTTACAATCACCTTACTTAGCAACAAATTCCAGTCCCATTACCATCGTAAGTCAAGGACTACCAGTATGAGCTGGTGAACGATTTCCAAGTTTCAGGTAGAAGAACTCTCGATATAGTTCTGCATTTGATTTTGGACACTACATTTTCAAAAAGATACAGAGAAATCAGTACAGGTACAGAAAAAGGCAATGACTCATTATAACAATAAATTTAGGAATTAGTACCTTATTTTGTGACCTGTTTTCTCCGATAGCTATAAAAAACATATATAGTTCTTAAGTAATAGTTCATCATCAAAAATACATTATTAATTTTTTATGAAATATTTAATATTGGATTTCAGAATGTACACAGGTATTACTCACTTTTTTTGTTTATGTAAATTGGATAATATTGAAGACATAAATTCATTTGTCCGGCAGGGATGAATTACAAAGAAAGGCTGACCAAGTAGTGGATGTTCCTAAAAAGAGGGAATCTGGTTAATTGTATAAATGCATTTTTAGTATACAAAATTGTTTACAGTTCACAAGTTGTCCCATAATATTTTTTTTTAAAGGTACTTTTTTCAATGAATGGAAGTGAAGTGAAATTGAATTGCCCAAGATCAGCCCCAATCTTGGGCCATGGCCCACTACCGGGCCACAGCCCATTGGAATTGGGCTGCATGAGTGGTGGGCAAGAGCATGTGAGTAGCTCTACTTGCATGAGCAGCAGGTGCTTTTGTGAGTGGCAGGTGCTTGTGCTCATATGTGAAGCTTCACTTGTGTGAACAGTGGGTGAATGGAGTTGCACGTGTGTGCCTACCACTCGCATGGAACCATCCCCTCTCACCTGCCCACTGGGCCCTCAAACTGGAAAGGTTGGGGACCGCTGATCTAATAAGCCTGAGGCATGAATCCTAGATTTCTAAACCTATTCAGTATTATTTTGAATAAACTATTTTCATTTATTTAACTACAAAAGTGTCAACATGATTAAATAACAAAATCTAATTAATTGTAAGTGTACGTAAGTTGGAATTATAATAATAATACTCATACAATACTGCATTTAATCTTACAAATGTACCATCTAAATATTATTCTTAAAACATTAGTCATGTGAAAAATTTATTTAGCATTTGAACATTAAAAATGTTTAAGCACATTATAACCTCATGGTAAATTCCAAATACACAACATTCTAAATTATTTTTTAAAAAAATCACACAAGAAAATGATGCCAGGGCAATGGCTGGGCAGAACATGCATGAAATGTTAAAATAAGAATGATTGTGAAAGTAATTTCCAAGCTACGCTTTTTCCTTCTCTTCGTATTAGCAAAAGGATTTACAGAGATGAATACATTTAATTCTGAATTTAAATGATTTATTGTTCTTTTTCAAGCCAGACCTACTGCTAAGTGCTAAACTCATATTGGTGTTATTGAAATTTTATTAGTCATAATTGGGTTTGTCAATCAGAATTTACATTTGGCTCATAAACATTTTGATTATGTTCCTGTAGTTTGGTAGCATTAAGAAAATAAACTTTGCTACTTGTCACAACCTTTTTTCACATATTTTTTTTAAACTGGACCCCCAAAAAGCATAGCAGTGAGGAATATAATTTAAAAGAATAATAAGAATAAAAAACATAATATAACTCTAATCATATATTTAAGATAAACTTAAAGTATTTAAGGCAGTGGTGGCAAACCTATGGCACGAGTGCCAGAGAGACGGCACTCGGAGCCCTCTCTGTGGGCATACGTGCCATTGCCCCAGACTTGCCTCCCCCCATGGCCCCCTCCTCTCCAGCAGCCCCCCTGAAGGAGACTCGCCCTCGAGCGAGGCCCACATGGAGCAGCGCAGCCAAAGACATGGCAGCCAGGCAGCGTAGACAATACTCTGCCCTCACACCCCATCATGCAGTTGATGCTGCAGGGCGCGGGCAGAGGGTGTGGCCGCCATAATGCTGCTGGGCTGCCTGGGCAATCTGTGGCGGGCCCTGGAGGCGGTGAGTGGTGCTGTGGGCAGGTGGGGCGGGGGATGGGGGCAGAGCGGGTGGTGGTGGTGGAGCGAAGGTGGGACCAGTTTTTGGGCATTTGGTCTCTAAAAGGTTCGCCATCACTGATTTAAGGTAATCTTAGCTATATGTAGGACTACTATTTTCACATTTACCAGCTTATATCAGCATCAGACTTTTGCATGTTCTTTTTCTACAAATCAAATGCTCTTTTATTTTGGGAGATATAAGCACACCCATTTTCATATCTGTCTTATCTAGAAATGGTCAGCATATGATTTTCTAGATGTTCAACTCTCATCAAACATAGTCAACTTAGCTAGACATTAAAATTCTTTTATCCTATACAGGTAGTTCTCTATTTAAACTCTGAAACATTGAAAGATTTTGGAAAATAACAAGTCAGTTAGTGAGACAAATTTATCATCTTTAATTTTGTGCAAAATATAATGTAAAAATGAATGTATAAAGATATGCAAAATAGTGCAAATATACACAATGAAACTATAACATTTATCAAACTTAAGATAGAAGAATATTAAATGTTTTAGATTGCTTTTATTTTAATCCTGTAGATCCCAACTATAAATTCATGCAAAGATATTACCATCTGTTATTCATATAAATGAACTGATGTAATTTTTCATAATGAAATAAGTGCCAAATTGAAAAAAAAAACCTTTACTATTGCATCAGGGAAATTTTAAAAACTTATTGCAAAGACAGATTTCTGGAAAAGAACCAAATCTTGAAGCTGTCAATAAAATTTTAATTATCAAAATTATTTCTATTATCTATTATTAATTATGTATTATCAAATGAATGTCATACCTTAGTGAAAAAAATAGAGATAATTTTTCCAGGTTGAAATATCCTAAAGATATGCATACTGCCACTATAATAAAATTCATTTGTTCAATCAATATCCTGTTTTTCTGGCTTTAAAAAAAAAATTCCCATCAATGTTCAAAATATCTCTATCACTTATAATTCTCTCATAATAAATTATATTTGGGTAACCAAGGGCTTCCCTTATTCAAACCCTTTTAGAATTTTCATACTTTCCATCTCATAACAAAGTATAATATTCTAGTTACAAATCCTATCCTTCTAATTATAATAATACTTTTATTTCTAACTTATCTATTTTCTTAACCATATTCAAACATCTGTTTAATAGTATAATATCCCACCTAATAGATCAAAACCTCTATTTTCTTCAGTCTTACTCTAGCTTTCTTCCTTTGCCAAATAACTTTCCAAGTCAGTGCATTTGAATCATCAAATAATTCTTTCTCTGTTTTTGTATATATTGTTTGGAACGAGGAAGAGAATTTGATTGAAGTATTTTTGGAAGAATGCTCAACCCATTTATATTCATTAAATAGCTTCCATCGTTCTCCTTCAGTTTTTCTTTTCATTTCTTGTTTCTTATTGTTTGTTATCACTGCATCTTTTAATTTTTCATATGTCTGTATCTGTCCGTTAATTCCTTCCTTTAGGTCCTCCATCTCTGGATTTCTTCTAATTTTCCTTCTGTTTTTTGGGTTACTAGCTCCTTCTTTGTAGTCATTGTTTGGATTTGTAAGTTTAGGTTAGAAAATTGTTCTTTTACCTCATTTGTGTTATTTTTAGTCTCATCATGAAATAAAACAATTGTCTCTTGGTTTGATTTCAACATAGAAATAACTTCTTTCTGAGATTCATTAACATTTTCTTGTTGATATATCAAGCTGGGGGCTTCAGAGACAAATGTTAAAGATGATTTTTTAGCAATTGATGCTAAGTATGGAACATCCGTTTTGTTTTTGTATGTACTCTTTATAGTCCAGTAGGGTCCCCAACACAGATAAGTGGCCCAAGAGTTTTTTTTTCCCTTTTCCCAACTGCAGTCTGCAAAAGTGAAAGTTTCCAGGAACAACAAAGAGTCTTATCTAAGTCCAGGCTTCAAGCCATGTTTCCTTTAAGTATAATAAATTGTAGTGCCGTAATTCACCACTAGATGTCGTTGACACTGTCTTCCAGCTTTCCAAAGCCAAGCCTATTTTACAGACTTTTAAATATTATTTCTAAAAAAAAGTCTCAAAGGTACTTTTAGTCCACAAATTTCAAAACTATATATCTGTATTAATTCCAAATTCATCTTGTAGTTTTCTCTATTTTCCCCCAAAGCAATTTGGGGGAAATTGCTTTTCTTTTCCTGAGGGAGTGAGGCAAAAATTTCCCTTCCCTCTCTCATCGGGGAGGATTCTTTGCTTTGGGCACTCATTTTTCTTGGAAAATAGTATTAAGGTCATAAAAAGAGGATAAAATCTCACCCAGTTCCATCCATGTTGCTCAAAAATTGCTAGTTAGTGTGTTAGTTAGCTGCTAACATTGGATGTTCCTGCTTGACATAATGCTTATCTTCGGTTGTCAGCAGCTTCTGACTAGCCACACGAATGTAGCCAGTCTTTCCCCCACCAGTTTGGAGGGCTTCCTCAGATTCAGCAGAAGGACCACCGCCCCTCCGTGATCGATGAGGGTCCCCTCCTTCTTTGTCACCTCTCAGGGTCAACATTTGACCCCTAGCGGGGCAAAATTGAACATGGAAGACGGAACCCCGTCTTCCTGCGCCCATCACACCGCGACACCTAAGCAGAAGTCACCATCCATCTTGATACTGGTTGTTTTCACTTTCTTTTCACATTTTCTATAATTACAGTTTTATCTAAAGATATAGGTTTTTTCATAATGTATCTAAAGTCATTTGGCCTTGGGTGACAAGTCTGGACTGATTTTAGTTTCTTGGCTACCCATATATTCTCAGAATCTTCTCCAACACAAAAGTTCAAATGCATCAATACTCTTTCTATTGAACTTCTTCAAAGACCTACTTTGCTTCCATATAGTCTTGCAGGCAAAACCATTGCTTGTGCAAATTTGTTCTTGATAAGTATAAACAGATGAAAGCATCTGAATATCATTTTATGTTTTCCTACCAAGCATTAGTGTGTATTTGTGCTACTCTTAATAGTCCATCCAAAAGAGCAGAAACTAACTACCACTTCAGTATCTTTATTGTCATATCACTGACTGGCTGCTGTACCTGTTATTAGGTTGCTTTTTTAAGATTAAATATAATCTTATCCCCATGTTTACACTGTGCTCAACTTCTATTACCAGAGCCTGGAATCAGAGAATTATTAGCATACCACAGGTTACTGATGCTTCCTCCTCTAATTTTAAAACCACATTTAACTTCTTGCAATCAGAGAACATAGGCTGATTAAATGACATGTTAAATAAAGAGAGAATATATGGCATTTGTTCACTCCTTTGCCAAACTGGAGCAATGATATATTGCCATGTTCTGCCTGAACTCTGGATTTTGCCTATATATTTCAGGTGAGCGACATATACATTTAATAAATAAATATATAAAATATAGATTTTGCATGAATACATTGAGAAG